ACCTAGTGGTCATTGGAGGTGTGACTGCCTTTTCATGAAAGAAATCCTGTTACTGGTATCTGAAAAGTTGATGGTTTTCTTTTAAATTAAGTTAGAAGATGTGATGTGAATCAGATCAAACAATGTATCTGCTTCAAAACCTTACTGGAAAGAGGTAAATGAGTATTTTCAAATTAAAATGAATAGCGAAACAAAAAATCAGATTGACGCTCACTGCTTTGCCATCTAAGACACTACTTTTTTTTTTCTTTGACTAAAGTTAAATTCAAGTGAAGTCCCACACAAACTAAGTAAGTAAACCAACCAACAAACCATCTAAACCGACCACCACCAACAAGAATGGCTGTTTTCATTTATCCAACATGTATCTACCGAGTGCTAGGCTGGCTCTGGGCAGCACTCAAAAGTTTAATGGGCATCGGAGCAAGTCATCACAATATATTGTGATGATTTAAAGTCAGGGAAAGGAGAATCAATAGGGCACCACAAAGAAGACCTGTTAACTCTGTAGAGCAGTGAAATTTGAGTCCAGTGGTTAAGGAAGATTAGATTTTGTCAGGTAGGAGGGATGGAGGGCCCGAAGGGAATTCTGCCTGATTCAAAGAACACATGCAAGGCCCAGAGGGAGGGAAAAAAAGGACCAGCTCAGGCGTTGGTAGAATGTGTAGCGTCACCGAAAATATAATTCATTCTAAAGCTTTGTTCCGACAATGTATTTATCGGCTACCTATTCCATTCAAAGTAAATAGTCAAAGGTATGAGACACCAAAATGTAAGACATGGAAGCATGTTGCGATGATGTCACTTTACAGATTCAAAGCAAACCCAGTAAAAATTCTATTAGTTTTTTTTCACTTGTGGACATTGATAAGCTACTTCTAAAATTTATTTAGGAATGCAAAGAGCCATGAGTAGCCAAGATGATTCTTGAAAAAGAAAAAAAAATTGGAAGGCTTACACTACGAGGTATCAAGGCTTATAATAAAATAAAGGTAAAAGAATTCATCATTAGAAAACTGGCAGTATCCACTAAAAATGAGTATGGGCATACCCTCTAATCTAGCATTTCCACTCCTACATATACGCCCAACAGAGATGCATATGTATTTAACAGAAACTTATACTAGATCATTCAAAGCAGCATCATTCATAATAGCTCTAAATTGTGACTAATAAAATAGCCAGCAGCATGGTGGTGTCTTCACACAATGGAGTTCTATTTAGCAATGAAATTGAATGATTTACAACTACATGGAACACTATGGATGCATTCCACAAACATAATGTTAAGAGAAAAAAGCCAAACTCAAAAGAATACATATTGTACAATTCCCGTTAATATATGGCCCAAAGTGGCCAAAACTAATTGTGATAATTAATCTCATTATTAGCTCTGATTCTTTATCTTCCCTGACAATCACGCCCTTTGCCATGTGACTGCAGGTCCTCTCAGGATGTGAAGCTCATTTCCCCACCAGGGCCAGGACTAGGGTGAGATAAGTAAGTCATTTACCCTAGGCGCAAAGTTTAAGGGGTTCTCAAAAACCGCAATAGCCAAGAAAAGAAAGATTTTGATGCAGTGTTTTTAAAAAATCAAAGTTAATGCAAAAAATCAACTTAGTGAACAAAATATCAAAAATTTCAATAAAGACAGGAGCTGCCCTGTACTTGCGCGACTCACTTTACTGGCCTCACGCGAATCCTGGCTCTGTCAGATCTCATTTTGCATAAAGAGGAGGTTTGCATAATTCTGCCATTTCTTTCATCCTCTGCCATTACCATGGCTATGCTCTGGCTGGCCTGCTGGAGGACAGCTGTGCCCACCCCTAGACATGGGGAGAGCTCAGCCAAGATGAGCAGACCCTAGGTGAGTGAACCAGGAAGTCTTGTTTTTGTGTGCAGCTCATGTTTTCTGGTTGGTTGTGATGCAGCAATCGCCACGGATACAGTAAACTATGTAGTTAGAAGTCAGGATAGAGGTTGCTCTTGGGAAGTGGGTAATGACCTGAGGGGGCCATTAAGTGGGCTTCTGAGCTGCTGGTAAGTTCTGTTGCTTGATCTGGGTGCTAATTACACCCAGTGTTCAGTTTGTGAAAATCCATTGAGTTGTATGTTTATGATCTGTGCATTTTTCTATATTTTTATTACATTTGAATACAAAATTAAAAAAATATAGGAGACAAGGCCCCTATCAATTTTTCAAAGACAATTTAGCTGGAATAAGACATATGAAAGAAAAGTTACAAGCATCAGAGACTGAAACAAAAATTCAGAATAAACTATATTCGAACCAGTATTCAGAATATCTGTGAAATTATTTATTTGGAACTCTACCCACTATTATTTACAAGGAAGCCCTTAGAATTATTTGAACCTTTTAAAACTATATTAGGCCCAGACAAAATCACAACATAAGAATATTCTCTGAACCAGTATTTTATTTGCCTTAAGTTTTTGCTAAATTCATCTTTATATTTAGCTTTAAATTGGCCTCATTTCAATGAAAAGAATAATTATTATGATCACTGCTTTTTCAACCATATGCTTACTGATAATATGTAGAAGATCAGAAAGCATGGCTTTTCTATACACAGAAATTAGACATAATTATCATTCAGCCTCAATTGTTTGAGGACCACTTTATTATCTATTTGTTGTCTGTCTGTTGCCTGTCTGTCTACCTTAGGATTGACTCTGAAGTGGGTGGGAAGATCTTGTCATCAATCTGGTACTAAATAAATATGTACCAAATAAGTATATCTACTTTAAGGCTGAGATAAAAGGGAGAAAGTATGTATCTAAATAGAACATGTGATTTCTTCCTGCATCTTCCAAAGGAATAACATCTATTTGTTTTTCAAAAAGACATATAAACATTTATGCTGTGATCTTTCTGGAGAAAATAAATTTCTATTTAATACTAAATTTTCCCCCTAGTCCCGGTGCTTCCCACTCACCTGGTTCTGACAGTGTTGTGCCTAATTTTCTGCAGCAGATGAGGGCCAGGCACGGCACCAAGAACTTTACACGAATTCATTTAATCTTTGAAATTTCCCCATGGAGACATACTATCATTATCTCCATTTCACAAATACAGACACTAAAACGCAGAGACATTTCATCACTTGCCTCAAGTCTCGCAGCAAGAACCTAGCAGAGCCCACATTGAATCCAGCCCTCCGGCTCTGGAGCATGTGCTCTTAATTACCAAAATCTGCTTTCAAGTTGTACCATGGGCTCAAAATTTCAAAGGAGCTGTGATAAATCCTCTTTTAAAGTTAATTCATTTTATAAACAGAGCTACCCTTCCCTAATTCATAGCTGGTATAAATCTAAATTTTTATGTACCTTGGCTTTGCTTGATGTGGGAAAGAGCATATCTATAGTATGAATTTATCAGTGAGCTCATTCTGAAACTAATGATTCAAAATGATCTTTTAAGAACAGGTATTTTAAATGTATACCTTATTGTCTACTGTCCTGTTTGATTACTTCACACAATAAGCCTGTGTGGTGTTTTTTATTCACTGATAGTTTCATAAATTTGTCTTATTAGTTATAGATGAAGGCCTTTAGGATAGGAATCAGCTCATCCTCCTTGTAAAGCTGCGGTACACAGCACACATAGTAGGACAGTGTGTGGTCAGAATATGTGCTTATGGATTGATTAATGGGACTAAATTAAATGTTTTATAGCTTAGCAGAGATTCTGGAGAGAAATGGAATAAAATATATGAAAATGGTGTTCTGTGAAATTGACTAATTATACATATGCAAGTTACACAAATATTTTCATTGACAGGAAAACAACAATATTTCTGATTATAAAAAATTCTTTATCTGTTTTGTCCCTCTGTATTTCCTAGTTGTAATAGTTTTCATTTTCCTCTCGTCTTCACCTCCGCGCATGAATAAAAGCAGAGTCAGAAAGTTTTAGTGGATCCCCAATTGTCTCTGCACATCCCTTCCTTTTTCATTGTCAGAAGGTGAGTTGTGAGATTTCAGACAGGTGGCAGGAAATCTAGAGGTTTCCTCAAGTCTCATAATCCCAGCTCTGCTTCGTGCCCAGTCAGGTGTTTCTGGGAAGACTGTCCTGGGCTCACATTCCTCTCTCAGTCATGGCTAAGGCGTCGCAACCAAAAAAATACTTGAGTTCACTGGTGACAACCTCTACTAAGGCCATCTATTATGTCCCTTGTAATTTCTACCATTAGGAATTGCATTTCCTGTTGTTTAAAACAAAGTGCTGGTTCTAATCAACACCTTCAGTGTAACACATTCTCGCTCCTTAACCAAATCAGTCACCAACTTTTTTAACAAATTCAGCTAACATTTATGAGCTTTGCAGGCACAGTCCCACTCTAGGTGCATCAAGGCATGCGAAGGTGAGAGTGCAGATCTGTCCTGTGGATATTGGAATCTGATGAACAGAAAGTTGGGATACACACCACCCAATCAACTCTAATACTGTGATATGTGAACTCTGATGGGGATGTGAGAATGAAATAAACTCAGAGGGTGGGACACACTAATTTTGACAAGGGGATATAGGGAAGCCCTTTCTTGGAAATAAGATTCATGGATTACTTTGAAGAAAACTTGCCTCCTTTCAATTCTCATCTTAGTGCTGGCATTTATTAATTCACTCAAAATTGCTGCAGGTGCTTTGATTAATCTTCCAGTTTCCAGCCTTGGTCCACTAGGAGCCTCCTAGCTCAGCACCACCAATCACCCAGATAGGTCTTGAGCCAGAAGGGATTTTTTTCCTTTGGATAACTGTGAGCACCCTAGTCCTCATCATCCACAACATTTTTCTTCCTGGATTCAGACTTTGGTCAACATTAAAACTATCCTGACTTTCATGGTTCATAAGGAAAGGTTTGGGGGAAGAAAGCAGCCACAGATTATATACAAATTGGGTTACTTGTTCATTTGAAAATAGTCTACCCAAAAGCAAATCTGTTAACTATAAGCAAACTTTTATAGCAAAGCAGGCTTACCTTTGATGATCTGGAGCTGAAGCCACATCTCTTATAAGCAGTGCCGGACGGAATGTAAAAATTTTGAATCTGTGTACCCTTCTCAACGAGATACAGCTGTGATCCTCCAGTGGGTCCCGCTTGTGAACTCATGAACTGACAGTTGCATTTAGAATCACCTGGGGAGCATTTGGAACCTGCAATTTCTTGGGCTCCAGCCTTAGAGACTCTGTTGCAGTAGTTCTGGGAGTAGGACCTGAAATCTGTTTTTAAAAAGCTCTCCAGGGGAGTCTGTGTAAATCAGGTTTGGAAATGATGGTTGCAGGGACAATGTGATCGGCAGATAAAACTCCTGGTGATTAGTAATGCTGGATTAATGCTCTCAGGTGATTCCAACTTCCTGAGTGTCCTTACCCACATGATCTACAGCTGATTCAGGAGAGAAACAGAATTGTTTGTTGAGCCGGCTTGATAGCGGTCATCATGTGTCATTTGGGTGCACTTGGCTTGTTTCTGTTTGTCAGAATATTTCCTGTGAATAGAATACACCATCATGAAGTGAGACTGCATACACAACATGTAATGTTAAGTGACATTAGAAAAAATTCATATTGTTGCCATTTTAATACATCCCGCTTTTCACATTTTCTCATCCTTTTTCATATTCCCATGACTATAACTGACACTGTACTTTTATCCTCCTGCTAGTAATCTACTAGACATTTTCTCACATTGTTACGAAAGATTTTTCATTTTCCTTTTTAATACCCGCATGTTCTTGCCAGCTTTTTGTGTACCTGGGTATACATCACATTGGTGAATTTTAATGTTTGGCAACAATCAATGTTCTGGGCTTGTTGAGATGGTCACACTCACAATTTTGTATTTCAGTTATAGTTTAGTGACACCATTGCTGGCTTGGTGCATTTTAATGGCCTACAGTAAGTCACTCTATAGAAGTGTTCAGCTGTTCCCTGACATTTCTCACTCTCTCTGTGCAACACCCAGATGGGACCAGGAGATGGTGCTGTGGTCCAACTTTTCCCCAACATCATCCTGCAATGCAGGTGGCTTTCTGGGAATCCATGCAAAATAACTTGAGATACAGCTTTAATTTCTTCCCTTTTGGGGCTAATAAAATGCTCACATCTGCATGCTAAATGAAATTCTTAAAATGAAAAAATAACTTAGGGCTGAAAGATGATGATGGACTAACTCTGAACCCTGCTCTAAAGCCCTCAGATCTGAAATTCACACTGAACTTGAACTTGGGGACTTAAGGAGTTTAGTATTTACTGGTAACTAACTGTTATTAAGAACGAGGTCAGAGAAAACTTTTGAGGAAGTCTGGAGACCGATCTGGGGCTTCTTGCTACTCTAAGAGCAGCACAGAGAAATGATTTTAATATAAGTGGAGTTCTAAAAATAAATATATTTCATGCTTTTGTTGGTTTAACCATGGGAATGTCAGGCAAAAATTGCTATCTACAAAATTAGCATAAAGAAAAAACATTTCATGCCAAGGGCCATAAGATTTTGCTCAAGCTCTTTGTAACCACTAATGCAGTTGGCTCACTTTTCTAGGCATTCTGAGATAATGCTAACAGACTGTTTGGTTTTCCTCTTGTGTATTTATAACTTCTTCTGGTATTTGTAGTTAGAATGTGGCCTGCTGGAATTAATTTTCTTTTTCTATTTGCATGTAAATAACACGACCATGACCTTGTAAATTTCCCACAGGCCATTTTAGAAATAGGATGTTGTTATCCCAGAGGTGGGAGCCCCTGCATCATCCAGAAGAGTGTCCAAGCCAATAGCTCAGTTGGTTTGAGTATGGTTGTAAGACATCCAAGGTCACAGTGACCATCTGTGGCAAGATCAGTCAAGTTAGAGACCAGAGATCCTGCCTTTGTATTCCAGGCACCAAGAAGAATATACTATAACTCAGGCAATATGTGAGTTATTGGTAACATGGCAAAATAAAATGAGCGCAGCTCAATATTCCTTGATGCTTAAGAGAACAGTTACTCAATGATGTCATTATCAATAGCAGAGCCATTTTTGTCTGTACAGGACAATCCCCTTCCTAAGAATAAAATCGCATGAGCCTGTGGTTCCTGATTCAGAGTTTCATCTACGTGACTCTACACATGGCTACCTGTGAAACACACAACAATTGGGAAGAGATGGAAAGATAAATATGCTTGTAGAGAATGGGGAAACGGCTTAATACTGAGAAAATAGTTTTCCCATTAAAGGGCCTCCATTAGCTGCAAAATTTTAGGGAAACTGTGCAAAACAGATTTTCATCATTTTTGCATGCTGCCTATGGGGTATACTTGAGATTTGTAGTTGTTTACTTGGGAAGCAAAATCTCATATGAAACAAGAAAGGGATTTTTCATATAAAGAATAAATATTTGTTTTCTAGATGGAGAAGAAATTGCCTTCCTGAGCTGAGTTTCTGCTGCTGGGCTGGTTAAATATCTGGCACATATAACAGCTCACATTCATTGACCAAGGGATAAGCTCTGTCTAAGCACAGTACAAGTATCGTTTCTTTTAACCCTCACAAAAACTTACGAAGTAGGTACTGTTATTATCTGCGTTTTTAAGGATGAAGAAATAGGCTCACAAAGATGAAGTCATTTCTCTGGGCTTCTCCGGCTAGTAAATGGCAGAGTTGTGATTTGAACCCAGGCTATATAATTCCAAGGCCATGTTGTTAAACACCATCCTATCCTATTCGTCCTATAACTTATCAGAAACAACCTAATTTCAATCTGATTCCTCCCCCACCCCCCAAAAGAAGGTTTACGTACTTGTAATTCTGTAAGTGAGGAGTAGGCTCCAGTTTCTGCATTCAGATATGCCTCTATGCTTCTCTTCAATAGGCAGCAGGTATGTAGGAAGGTTAGGGATCACAGGGTCAGCGTTCATGTTTTCTAGTAAGTTCTCTCTCTCTCTCTCTCTCTCTCTCTCTCTCTCTCTCTCTCTCTCTCTCTGTGTGTGTGTGTGTGTGTGTGAAAATCTCTGCTTGGAATGTGAAGCTACCTTTCCTCTATTGTTCTCAGCTTGGGACTATGTCAACAATTCCAGACAACAGGGAAAGACCCATTCAATATCTTGTTACAGTGGAATACTCCACTTGTCTTAGTGCTCAGCAAAATAAAAGTCCTGTAGTTAATAGGAAACAGCATCCTATTTAGAAATTCATCTATTGTTACTTGAGCATATTCTCTGGGGTTTCATCTTCTCAAAGTATCCCCCTCATCTCTTGTAACACACACACTATTCTTGAAAAGAAAAATTCTTGCACCGTTAATTACCAAGAGGATATGTTTTTCTATATACCACCTATAAATGTAGCATTAAAGCAAAACGTAAATAAAGAAGAAAATGCTTTTAGAAGTTTAGAACCTACTGCCACTCCCTTCATTTGAAGGTTCATTGTTACTGTCTTGCCGAGACCTTCTTCTCTAGGAGTATTTGCCTTGGGGAGACAATGTGGCACTTTGCTTCAGGGACTTGCATAAAAGGGGAGTTCGGGAAGGTTTCTTAGAAGTTGGACATGAGCTGGACCTTGAAAGAGGCGCAGAATTTGGACTGATAAGGAGATGGAGTAGGGTGTATCATGTGGAGAAAAAATTCAGATGAGCCAAGATTAAGTGCTGGAATTTATCCTATTGGTATAGACTGGGAAGCCTGATAGGAGTAGAAGCTAACTGGTCTACATGGAGCAGGGGTAGGGATATAGTTAAAATGAATGAGGAATATGAAATTAATGGAGGAAGTTGTAGAGTTGGCAGGATACCAATGGCGATATTTTAGTATGTTCTTATATTTGGAAACCATCTATTCCAAACCTCACATCTTACAGAGGCAATGGAGATTCAGAGTGGTGAGGTAATTTCCCAGGGTATCATAGGGTATCAGTGGCAGAAAGGTCATTCAGTGTTTACTCCTTTGTACACTCCTGCCTCTGTGCTTTGTCTGAGCATAAACATAAAGCCATTGTAGGTCAGGAAGCTAAGAAGTTCTGCCAGTTTGCTGGATATATAAACAAGGAAAAAATAGAAAATCAGAAGGAGAGCTATTATTACTATATTAAGAACTTGAATTGCATACTGTAGCCTTGGCTATTGGCAGGGGGACAAAGAGAATCAGATACATTAAAGGAGAAGCTGGTAGGACCCAGTATAGGGCCCAGAAAAGAGAAACATAAGCTGATTGCAAGTTTCAAATTTGGGGCTTTTATAGAATAGTGTCAGTGGGGGCAAGAGGGTAGGAGATTCTGAGTTTGAGTCTAGAAATATTTGGTGAATGGACCTGGTGACAGACAACTGGAAATAGCATGCATCCATCCATCTATCCATCCATCCATCCATCCAATGAATATTCATTGAATGCCTACTTATGAGCTCTTGTGCTAGGTGCTAGATAAACAGGTAAGATGTACTTGGTCTGGGACGTCCTGGAGCTTTCATTCTGGTGTTTCCTAACATGGCCTTAGGTGAGAGGCATACCTGGAAGTCATCAGCTATGGTGCTTGGTGGGGGACCTCTCTCAGACACTGAGTACAGAGTAAACTGCAGAGGGCTAAGAACAAAGTCCGTGGACCCCCAATTGTTGCAGGAAAGATGACATCATTATCAACAGGTTATAAGTTTTAAATATATTGTCTTAAGAGTTTTAAACCAGTTTTTCTCTCATTTCTTTTTATTTAAATCAGTGATTTGAACTCGTCCCTAACAAAGAATTCTCTAACATTCAAGTGAACAGAGTAAATGATTAAACGGGCTGTCAACGGGGCGAATGTGTCCACTGACCCAAGATAAAAGGTGACAGACTTTAATTATATTTAAAAAATTCCCCTGGCCCACTGAACTGGCACCAGAACCTTTTGTTTGTTTCATTTGTCAGGATTCTTAAAGCTTAGACCTCGCTCCACTAGATGGTGTTAAGTGCTGAGCCCTTTCTCTCTTTTTTCCCCTGTAGTTTTAACCCTAGCTAGGACTGGCTTTTGAGTAAATTAGGAAATTCTGACAAATGGGATCCTAAAGGATTTAAGAACTTAAGGATAGGTCCAGAAGCACCCCAGAATCCTGTGATTAAATAGCAAAGATAGTTGTGAGAGGTTAAGAGAAAATCTTTTTGAACATTAATAAATATGAAAATGATCATTGATTTACATTTTCAAAGCCTTATTTACTATTTATTATGTTATAGCGATTAATTTTGTTAAATTTAAAACTTCTAAAAACTCACAGAAGCAATCACAATGTAAATCTTGCTGGTAAAGATCAATTGTTATAGGGGAATTTATAACAGGGGGGGAAAAAAAGGAGAAATCATCTTAATGACTAAGTTCTTAATAGTCTTTTCCAGAAATGTCTCATTAGGGTGGGATGTGTATTGAGAAGAACCATAAAATTTACCCTTTGAAAGACTGTGATGACTCATGATCTGAAGAAATTTTTAAATTCCTCAAGGCAGGAGGGAGCTATTCTCTGTACCCTTATTTGTTCTGTGAGCCTTCCATTCTTCTCTCTTCTGTGTAATTGTACGTGTGTCATCATTCCCTTATTGTTGGTGAAAATGTTTGGTATTCTGGCATCTCCTCTACCCTCTGTTTAACTATGAATCTCTCTACCCTTCCTCCCACTTTTTTTCCCCCATGACACAGAGTGCCTCGGAATTTTGCTTCTATCTGCTCTAATCTATTAGGATTTTATTTTAAAGTTTAACTCTCAGGATGGCATTACTTCCTTGCTCTTGTATTTCTGTTGGGGGTGGGGGAAAATATCTCACTCTGTGCCCCGCATCTAGATCACAACAATTTTTACTCCTGGAACATCTGGGAAGGTCGGCTGTGGAAGATGTGAGTTTTAACTCTTAGCTGCATGTCTCAATCTTTTCTGAGGTGGAACACAAATAATTTTCAACCATTAATAATCTTAGTACCAAAGTGTGTGAATGATGATTCTTAAATAATTAAAATCGGAGAGGATTGCAATTTATTCCTATAATCAGTAATCTTCACTCTTTGCATTACTGTTTTCTGGAGTAGAATTGAATCAGAAATCAACATAACTCACTGTCAGTCTGAGTACCTACAAGGCAGTATGTTCATATGTGCGTTTATTTATTATTTTTAGGAGTGGGAGGTGTCATGGAGCTATTTGGAAAAAGAAATCCAGATTTTTTTTTGCCAAATCCAGATTTTTTTTTTTAATTTTGGTATCAAGCAGCTTTAAGATCCCTAGCCCTTCCCCTCATGAATATCGAAGTTACTTTTGAGTGACATAAAATTAAAAAGAATTTCTCTCATAGTGTAGTTAAGTCAAAATGTATAGACTGAACACGATTCGTGATTAGCTAGACAAATCTAACTTTGTTATACACATGTTGCTATTTAGAGACCTGCCCAGACATTTTGGCCCTGACCATTAACCGCCAGCACGTACTGCTTCCCTCTCTGCCTGTCTTTGTTTCTCTCTTCTTGCTTTCCTGGTCTCCTTTCCTCCCTCTCTGCCCCGCTCCCTCACCAAGCACCATCTTTCCTCTTCTCTGAACAGAAAGTCTGTCTTCCTACAGTGTGGCTCTAAGCCAGAAATAATGGAAATGGCAGAAAAATTTTCCTGTGGTTAGAGGTGAAGCCAACAGCGAGGGGAGCTTATCCCTTGCTCTCCTCCCCTCCAGACACTGTTCTACCCAGGTATGCATTCAGCCTGGGGTCAAGGAACACACAAGAGTTGAGACCAGAAGAGCTTTGAGATTCTTGTTGACTCTTGCTGCCTGCCGAATACTTGGAAACAGCAACTGAGAACACTTTGTGGACATCCTGGAAGGATGGGAGAGCATCAAGCAAAACATAGTTCTCCCCCAGAGAGAGTTGCTGGACACCAAAGAAAGGCCCCTATACTGCACTAGGTTTCCCCTCCTGGACCCCCAGCACACACAGGGGTCCGACAGAATAAATACTTCCATGCCTTCTGGGCCCATCTGGCCCTGTTAAAACCCTGCCCCTGTGTGTTTGGGTTAATCTATTAGAGAATTTCCAGGACTCTTGAAATGCCTGTGGGTAACCTGGAATTTCCTGAGAGACCTGGCTGCTGAGATCACTGACCAGCTTCATGGATCCATGCCTTCTGTGAGCGACAAAGACATTTGTGTAAAAGTGGGTCACAGGAAATCTTCGGAAATTCTTGAGACTTAAATTCCCTATAAGGCACAAATATGCCAACTATAAAAGTTCTAGGTTATGTCAGAGAAGGTCTAAATCTCAATCAAACCAAAGATATGTAAACTGCTATCATGTGTCTTTGGCTTATTCTAAAAATCGGCTTTTTCATATTTGTTGGTAAGGCCAAACAGTTAAACACTAACTACCATTTGCTTAATTCTCTTTGAAGTTAGAAGGTAGAGGTCTTATGGGGCTCACTGGAACTCACAAGTTCTCATGGGCAGGGTTCCCCAACCTCTGGAGGTGAGCGGCAGGTGAGCGAACGAAGCGTCATCTGTATTTGCAGCTGCTCCCCAGAGCTAGCATTACCTCCTCAGCTCCACCTTAGATCATGAGGCATTAGATTCTCATAGGAGCACCTGTTCTAGTGCCAAAAAAGGTTGGGGACCTCTGGGCTAAGACATGAAACGATGGTTAAACAGTCGATGTTCTCAATAGAGACTTAATTGACCTTTCCAAGCCTGTGCTATACCTCAGTTCCCCCAAGGGAAAGCTTAGAAATGGCCACCTGTGCTCTTTCTTGGGGATGGATCAGAAAGGTCACTCTTATTTAAGCCACAATTCAAGCACACTCTTTGGGGCTACCTACTTGTTCTTAACTACCTATAGTGTTAGCATATCCCTTTCTCATAGATGACACCATTATGTCAATTTTAATTCACTTAACAAGTGTTTACTAAACATGAGCCAGATCCTTTATTAGGTGCTGGGAAAATAATGGTGAGCAAGAGAGTCCCAGGTGCCTGCTCCTTAAAAGTCTTAAAGCA